CAGAGCTAAGATGCCGTGCAATACATACGCAACTCCAACAAATTGGAGATAGCTTTTCAAATCTTTTTTTGGATGAGTTTTTTGTCTTGTTGTTTAATGAACAAGGAACATCAGTGGTATTCCCGCAAATCTTTCGGAAAGCCTACTACACTATGACCTCAAATCCAAATCCTTACTAATAAGCACTGTATGGAAATATTTCATTTAGGAAATAAAAGCATTACTGATGCATTTTAAACTATTTTCTTATGGTTCTGTCCAAAAATCAAAGGACTTTAAAAATATTTGACTGGTGATATTATCTATCATTCTATCCTTCGCATTTAATACATTTTCTGCTTTGATCAACTGACTTTATCCTTAAAAAAAAAAACCCCTTCAGTATGAGGTACATGAATACAATTCTGGTCTAAAATTACTTATTATTCCGGAACATTACTCAGATTATTTTGAGTGGAAACTGATAATGAACAGAGCATAATCATATTTTTGACGATTAATCGATCAAGAAGAAATATCGAAACTGCGCAGTAACGCTTCAAGTATCACAGATTACTTGTAGTACATTTTTCAAGTTTGTAAGGAAAAACCTGAAGACAAACGTACCTCGTACAGTAAATAAATATAAATACTGTACTGTACGGGATGTCGACACATCTTGTTTTATTTAAGGAATGCAAAAATATACAGTATGCTCATGATTCTATTCCAGAAGAAAAAAATCGATTGGAGTAACAAAGAGGAGTTGAGCGCGTAATTTTGTCGATGGGGATGAAAATTTCTTTGGAGCTGAATTCCTTCTGCAGATTATAATTTTTTTTTCCGCAGAAAATAATTGTGCAATTAAAATAAGTCCAGGATGCTATAAGTGAGGATGCATGTTCTCACGCAGAAACAAAAAAATGCAATAATAAAAAGTCCAGGATGTGTAGAAGTGAGGATGCCTGTTCCCCCGCATAAAGAAAAAAAAAAGGAATAATAGAAAGTGAAGGATGTGTACTCTATCCAACTATGATTTGCAAGGATTCCCGCGACGAGTATATATAAGACGGATTTGATAAGTAAGGAACATGTTTCCCAGGTCGTGCGAAACGGAGCAGCTCCAGATTCACGCGAAAATCTGGCGTTGATGCCGTCACGGAACATTCTCTTGGGTTTAGTTTCAGCCGGGAGGAAGAAGAACAAGAAGAAGAAGAAGAAGAAAAGGCCCCTCCTGGAAGCAGCAGCATGCACGTATATAGTCTGATATCTGACACAGAATATTCGGATGAAGGCTTCGTGATGTTGTGCCGGGTTTTGTTACAGGTAGGTAGGTAAGAAGAAGCTGCTGCTTCTGCTGTTGGTGGTAGCGGTGGTGGTGCCGCCGCCACAGCCGGTATGTGTGTGTGTGTGAGTTGGCGACGCCCCCCGCAGTTTTCTCCTCTGATGATGATGGGAACTTCTCACGCCCGCCGGCGAAGATGAGCACCGCTGGGGAATCTTTGGCACGATTTCCCGCTTTTGCGTCGACCCTCAGCTGCGCGAGAAGACTGTTTTCACGCTCATCAACTCAATTATAAGAGTGGGCCTTTCTTTTTCCGGGAGCCCTCATCATGGAAACCCATTTTTTAATCCTCTATGTCTCTGAAATTCCGGCGGGATGGTCCGCGAAACGGAAGCCAATTTTCGTGCACAGCCAGAGTATACTATACTGTATTTATATACAACTAGCTGATAGTGCCCAGCCACACCTGGGCAATGTGTGGAAACATGCATAAAATACCCAACAGACTACTATGTACCAATGCCATCCACCTACCCTACACTACAACCTACCCTAGACTACAACTGACCCTACACTAAAACCTACTCTACATTTCAACCTACCATCCACTACAACCCACCCTACACTACAAACTACCCTACACCACAACCAAACCTACCCTACAAACTACCCTACCCTACACCACAACCTTCCCTACACAACACTGTAACATACTCCACTCTACACTACAAACTGTCCCACCCTACACTCAATTGTACCATACCATGAACTACACATTACCTCACTCTATAACCCACCATACTGTACAACCTAACCTAGAGAGTTAAAATTTGTGGTTCTTGAATTTAAAAAAAATTTCAATATTTCAATTTCAATTTCAATTTCAAAAATACAATTTCATTCCATACATGAGCCAACCAATTTATGATATGGATTCTTTGGTGGTCTGCACCCAACGCCAACAACAAAAATGGGTACAACCAATTCCTTAGTGAGAAGATGAAGGGAACTTGCAAAACAGATAGTTTCAAGGTGTAACAAAATGTGCATACAGTACTATGCATTTAACCAATCCTATCACTGAATTAATATTTTTTATAGAAGAATGACAAAAATTAAGCCAATTTTGAGTGAGTTATTATTGTTTTTTTAATCAAGAGACATGACGTGGTAAACAAAAAAGAAAAAAATCCTAACATTTTCTATTAAAGCCCTGTAAAACTGTGGATTTCAGAGAGTTGAGAGCTCAAGATTCCTAAGATCACTTTAATTTTGTGCAGATCATTGATATGCTTAAAATTTTTAAATAGCAAATGTCAACCAGTTCATGACAAAGGGGTTGCAAATGAAACACAGCACTCGGCCTTTAGGAGCCAGATCCTCCTTAACCCTTGTGCAGCAAAGTTGGGTTATTTTTGCAAAATTGTGTGCCACTGGACACTGGAAATAAAAAAACCTAGTTTTTTTTTTTACCAAGGGCTAAGTCAGGAAAAAGTCTGATATTTTTTTCTAATCCTGCAGAAAATTTTCAACAAAAATTAAAAAAAAATCCCTGGCTGGGTGGCATTTTTTCCTGCATTCCTGGCATAGGATTTGCATGGGAAAATCTTGGGAACAAAAGAAAATGCACCTCCGGGATTTTTCCCTACTTAGTCCTCCTCAACCTGGGCGCATTTCAGTAACCTTGGGTCAAACTGAAATGTGCCGCCCACCGGAAAAATTCCAACTCTGCCGTGCACTGAGAAAGAACCCTCCACCATCCTAGGGTTAAGGGAGTCCCTCAAAAGCTTTTACTTCCAAGCACAAGAAAGATAACCTCAGGCAACATACACAGGAATTCCTATCAACAGAAAAGGGTCTAACACGCAATCAGCTGAGATCATGCACACACAATCACATTGTACACATTGCAGTCCTCCAAAGGTCCTCCTAGGTTCAGGTGGAGCTGGCAAGTGAATACCACTTGTTTTACCAAAGATGAAAAATGGTTGCAATCTTAATTTGTGATAACATTCCCGGTTTGCTGCATTGAGGTGAACCTGGTGCGCAGCTGGGACTTCTGCTGCAAATGTCTTGCTGCCACGTGGCCTGGCGTGCCCAAGCAAAGACACTTTGCTCAGGTCATGTCCTTAGGCTTGACCCCACAAAATCCTCCCCTTTGGATCCAGCTGGCTGCATGGCTGGTGCGGGGCCAAAGGACCCCAAAACTGGGGTCTTGCAGATGTTGCAAGCGCTGGGGTGGTTGGCCACAATGGCGCATGCACCAACCTAACAAGAGGTGGCATCCTCAATTGGCGCCTGCACCAGGAAATGGCTGTGCGGGTCTGCGCACTGCCAGGCCTGAAACCCAAACCAGGTGGTTTGGGGGCTTCCAGCCTCTCAATCCAACCCATGTGTCCATCATAAAAAAACCATCATGTTTCCCAGTGCAACAAAAAAGTCTCAAAAGCTCACAATTTAGGCCAAGTTGGTAGGTCCCTCCAATCCTAGAGCTCATCTTTGTACCGCCAGTGTCCCAGTGACTTGTCCTTTGGTGCTCCTTGCCTGGTTGCATTTCTGCTTGAGTCTGAGCACTTGGCTGCCAACATGGGGTACCAATCAGGAATCTTTGTGCCTCTGGAAACTTGTCAGTCAGTCATGAATGTGCCTCAGGCTCACCATTGTGTACCCCCCAGTGGGTTGCCTTCTGGTTGTCAACTGCGGCAACAGGTGTCCCCACTTTGGAGGGACGTGTGGGAACCCAACCTCTGCAACTCTTGCTCCTGGTTTGTCATGTCAGCATCCACTGCACAGAGGTGCTGACCAACTGCTTCTGCCACCTGCACTGCCAAGGCAATGCCTTGAATGGAAGCAGGGACAATTGCCAGGTGATATTGAGCAGCCGCAGTGGCTGCATTCTCTGTCAAAACACGTTCATCCAAGGCCTGGTGTCAAACAGCATTATGAATAGGAATAATAACTTCATCAATTAAATGATATAGATACTGCATTTCAGTTTTTTTACTTAGAAAATTGTGTTTTGATCATGATTTTTCCTTGCTCAAACTTGCAGAAAATTTCTCACCTCATCATCAGCAGGTGCTGCTTACAATGAATATTGTAAGCAGCACCTGATGATGAGGTGAGAGGTCTCTGCATGCCGTATAGTGTTAATCTGTGTTCTGTATTACAGTACTACGCACTATGAAAGGCTTTTTAGATGACTTTTCAACAGAAATACATGGAAAATGTGGACATTATCTGAAGAGAATTATGTAAATTAAGTCTTGCCCAGAAATTTTCTGCAAGTTTGAGCAAGGAAAAATCAAGATCAAAACACAATTTTCTAAGTAAAAAAACTGAAATGCAGTATCTATATCATTTAATTGATGAAGTTATTATTCCTATTCATGATCTATACAAAATGCAATTGAGTACTGTACAAGCAATGGCATGGACGCTTCAATTCAAAGATACAGTACTATATTGTACTGTACTGTTTTCAGTACACTAGTATACTCAACTTGCGACATGGAAATCGATTAAAGCGCTACCAGTGGGAGACGGAAGAACGAATGCGCAGGATAAGATTAAGTGCGGTGAAGTCGTAGTCATCGCCTGATGCTCAGAATATACCGCATGTGAGCTGTTGAATACGTTATTCAATGTTACTGAAAATTTTGTGACGTACTGGTAGTTCGAGGAGACACATCTCTGAGGTAATCACATTGTGAGAATGATCTTTTCTTTGTGCTCAAAGATAATGCAGATAGACCATTCAGTGCAACATTACGGTTAAGCAGTGTGTTGGAATCGGAAAGATGCGTGACGAGATCGATAAGCCGCTTGCCATGGATAACGCGATTGCGAATCTTATTGCAGCGATTCGAGATCAGGTGGGTGTTATTAGCGATGAGATTCGTACCGTTCGGCTTGTCGATCAAGTGTTTGAAACATGTTGGCGTGCTGCAGATACGCACTATAAAAGATGCTTCCAGCGTTGACTCCATGAAAAGGCTTAAGGAATTGAGAGCCGAGAACGCTTCCCTGAAGTCCGAGCTAGCATCTGTTCTCGACAAGATGCAACAGCCTGCGTTCTCGATTTTGAACGAACCGTCCAGCACAGATACAGTGAAATCTACTGCAAAAAATAACCGCGGGAAGACGGACAAAGTCTCAACGGATGGCATTGACGCGAAGGCCAAGTCGGGGGGTGTTGTTGAGAACCAGCAACCAAAAATCGCCTCGAAAGGTAAAGGCGTCGGTGAACAGAAGTCTGAAGAAATTCATCCTGGAAGATTGGATTTTCGCATAGGTGAGAGGTGGAATGTAGGCATTCATTTATTCCAATTGCATACTTATTCGTGTTCCAGGGAAAATTGTTTCGTGCGAGCGTCACCCCGATGCGGATTCTCTGTACGTGGAAAAAATTGACCTGGGAGAGTCTGCTCCGCGGACCATTGTTTCTGGCTTGGTGAAGTACGTGCCAATTGAAGAAATGCGCGATAGAATGGTGGTTGTACTCTGCAATTTGAAGCCCGCTAAAATGCGTGGGGTGACTTCTGAGGGAATGGTCATGTGTGCTTCAACCCCGGATAAAGTGGAGATTCTTTCGCCCCCGGAGACCGCATCGACTGGAGACTTGATAACCTTCGCGGGTTATTCTCGGAATCCAGATTCTGTTTTGAATCCAAAAAAGAAAGTTTGGGAGTCGTTGATGCCTGATTTCCGTACGGGCAGTGACCTTATCGCCAAATTCAAAGACGTCCCGTTTGAAGTAGTTGGAAAAGGAGTTGTCAAAGCTCCGAGTTTATTGAATGTTCAAATCAAGTGAAAATCCAGGAATTTATGATGAGCACACTTTTGAATGTTCTTTGGGAATTTCACTTTAGAGCGCTAGCCAATGTTTGATTTTTTTCGAAGGTTGCACAAAAAATATTTTTTGGTGCCTGGTCGCACTGCTTCGTTCGAGGTTTGCGATGAACGGAAACCATACCGAAAAAGCTGTAAGTATTTTTGTTTCCTTCAACGTTTTAATTTGACCTTGACACATACGACATCTTTCGTTTAGTCGTCAGGTGCAGAATTGGGCGAAAACCTTGCAAGTCTCATACATGATTTGAGTCCTGGACAGACGCAAGACACCATGAGGATTCTTTGCACGACGATTACGACTAAATGTCGCGATGAAGACTGCCTTAGGTAGATCTTAGTGCTTCCCTGAATTTCACTGTTACTGTATGTTTTTTAATTTTTTCCTGTGTGCACAGAGATTGCGTCGAAGTGCTTCATCTGAAGTGCTTGGAAAACAGAGATTTTGGTCGAAAATTTGCACAGCTTTGTGCCAAAATTCAAGGCTTCCAAGTAGGAAGCGTGAATTTCCGTGGATTGATACTGGATCGTTTTCAATTGGACTTCCAAGGTCAGTTCACGTATTTCTTGAAAATACGGGATCTATGGAGATTCCTTGCATACTGGGCGTACGCAGTGAACGGTCTTGGTGTAATGCTGCATCTGCCTCCTCTTCGGCTGTTATAATGCATCAATTTTAATGTTACGTGATATGTGATTCGGATGTTCGAGCACTTCTTTCTGTCCATCTCATTTTTCTCTAATTTTTCAAGTTTACGAACTGTACGAAAGATTTTCTTTTTCCTATATTTGAGTATTCTTTTCTAGCTTCGAAATTATTAAATCTGCTTTTGGAATCGCACGTAAATAAAGCTGTATAAAGTTTCTCTGCAGCCAAGCAGAACAGGTACAGTAGCGGAAAGCCTAAGCTTTATGAATCCAACAAGACTAATATTGTACATATGTTGGGATGATAGGAAATGATCGCACAAAGAGTAAAAAACGGATATAATTCGCTGCAAGATATCATGGTACAGTATGTTGAAATGTACTCTGTCAGCATCGAGTCGGTATTCGGGTGAAGGCAGTAAATTGAAATTGATTAAATGTTATATATTCTAACGCTTTCTTGAGAGTAGATGTTACTTTTCATTGTAAATGACATTCTGTACCAGAACCCAGTGAAATTGGCCCATTCTTCCTCTTCCGTGTGTTTGGATTGGCCCCGCCTTACTTTTCCTTGCATTCCTACAGCTCGAGGACTTACACGTGATAAGTCTTATGCGAAGTATCTGAACTCCATCGCTCTTTTGTACGAAGTGTTGGTTGAAATGCGCATGGTGAACGGATCACCTGTTCCCGTTCTTGTGAGCGCAGCGTCAGACTACCTCTTCAATTTTATCGATGATTTTGCAACAGAAGATTCGATTATGGAATGCTGTCGACAGGTAAGCCCTATTCGAGATACGGTTGCTTCAAAAACAGCACGATACACTCGTTAGCTGTTCCTGGGAGTTTTCATTTCAAGGAATTTTCGATTATTGGTCCAGGTTCAGCGTGCCGGTGAAATGATTCAAAAGCAACAACCTGAGGTGTTCGAAAAATTTTTGGTGGCTGTGAAGACGAAGCTCATTGATGGCCAGCGTTTGACGAATGTTTCGCGGGCTTGTCTTGTTTGCATTTTGGACTTCGCGTCACGCGACTTCAAACCGTTTAAAATCAATGAGTTGTCCGTTGAATTGTATAGCAAGAAAGGCGTTCCGTTGGCTGCTTTTGGTTTTTGTAAGGTGTGTGATCTAGTTAGTGCGTATGCATGCTTTCTCGGCTGTAAATTTCATTATTCCTTTTCACAGAAACCGGAGACGGCGACCGTCTCACGAAGAAGTGAAAGGGTAATTTACCAACCTCCTCACGTGAAACACGGGATGACTGAGCCTTCTGTTCCGTTGATGAAAGACTTTGAGCAAGCAATGACAAATAACTTCCTTGTTGATAACTGAGTAAGGCCATTTTTGTTTTGCGCTGTGCAATTGTTTTTGTGAAACGGAAAATTCCTTCGTGCAGCATGATATTTGCACACGACTGCTCATAGAAAAGTTTGTGTCATGCTGCATTTCATGATTGGAATGATGCGTTAAGTAAGCGTAACGTTTTCGCTGATTTTTCTAAGACATCCGTACTGAAGGAAGAGTTTGTGATAATTTATCTTGTCAAGGATCATTCTTCGACGGTTTGCACTTTGAACTGTTTGTTTTTTGAAGAGTGTTACACAATTGCTCGAAAATTTAAAATTTGTTCGTGTTATTATTGTCTTGCCCTTAGACTTGTGCATCTTTCTATCCGTTTCAAAATTTCAGGAGATATGATTTCTGTGCGTTCAGCCCATCGAATACTATCCAGAGAATTGAAATCGTGTAATTGCCAGCACATACGATCCGTCATTAGTGCGTTCGGACAATTTTTTCGTAAGAAACCGGATGAGCGCTTCGGAAAATACAGTCTGGTCTCTCCCGGAAAGATATCCCCCATGCGCAAAGTCCCGGAATTTGTTAAACTTCCGCCGTACGCCGTGACTGGAGTGCCAGCGTTCCCTGCACCGGGTATTGATCTGAAGGACGATCGTGAATTGGAATCCATGAGAAGAGTTGGAGCTCTGGCAAGGGCAGCATTAAATGAAGTCAAGCGTCACATCCAAGTAAGAGATGCGTAATGAACTTCGCTAGACGTTGGAATTATTACTTGTGCAGCGTATTGGGTTCAGATAGGGGTCATCTTTCCGATGGGTTTGGTTGAGGCTTGAATTGTTGCGCGGAATATCTAAGCAAATTCTGCCTTTTTTCTTCACCTCACTTGATCACTTCTCGTGTGTTCGTCGCCGTTACCTATTTCCGCACAGCCCGGTATTACCACGGATTACTTGGATTTGGTGATTCATGAGTTCGGCATGAAAGCGAATGCGTATCCTTCCACTCTGAATTATCGGGGGTACCCAAAATCGTGTTGTACATCGGTGAACAATGTTGTTTGCCATGGAATTCCGGACGACAGGCCATTAGTATCTGGAGACCTGATATCTGTGGACGTAACTGTAGGTACGGACTCCGTTCATTTTATACTGTCCCGTTTATCTTCAGACATGCTTCTCTTGTGGTCAGTTCTATCTGGACGGTTTTCACGGTGACTGTGCGGAGACATTTCTAGTCGGAAACGTTGATGAACAAGGTAAACGATTAACCGATGTGGCGAAACGCTGTCGAGATGCCGCAGTGAATGCGTGTGGTCCTGGTGTTCCACTCAGCAAAATAGGTTCGCATGAATGTAGATGAAGGAAGTAATTGAACCACTCATTTATAATTTCCTTTTCATTTGGAAGGAGACGTTATTGAGGAAATTACCGACGCCGAGGGCCTCACTATTCTTCCGATGTTTGCTGGCCATGGCATCGGCTCTTACTTTCACGGCGCTCCGGATGTTCTGCATTTTCGTAGGTTCAGTTTTTCTAGATGTTGGCCTTCCAATATTGATCAGTTTATCTGAACTCTGCGTCTAGGAAACGATAATGCCCAAGTGATGTGTGAGGGCATGACCTTCACGATTGAACCAGCTGTTGGACAGGGTACCGAAGAAGTGGCCATATTGAGTGATGGATGGACTGCCGTGACGAGGGATGATTCTCGTGCTGCTCAATTTGAGCACACAGTGGCAATCACCGCTCACGGCGTAGAAATTTTAACTCCATATTGATGAGTGATTCTGTGCAATAAATTATGTTGATGTAGACTAATTTTAACGTTTTGGTTTTTGATCATGTTTTTATATTGTTGCATTTTCTACTATTTTATGTCCCTTTTCAGAAAGCCTCTCTTTCACCCAATTTTCCTCCGTGCAAATATTGTCTTGTGCAAACATTAATGCATCCCTTGGTAACAACCGTACTTGAAAGCGCCGCGGCACGTCAGGCAGTTAAAAATTTGGGTGATTCCTCAGTTGGATTTCTGTTAGCTGCTGAAGCTGAGAAACGCTTTCAGGCAGGAATCTTCAAGGTCAGTCTCGTATGGTTCGATTGTTTGATGAGCATTGATCATTTGCGATGAGGGTCACGTTTATACCGTATATTTGTTTGGAACTAACGTTATTACTGTTTGGTGGGTTGTTGTTTTGCTGGATTGTGTCGTGTTGGGTATTATCTGTAAGCATCATATTGAAGGTTTTCCTCGAAACCGTCTGGCATCATGCTTCCGTCCGATTGACGCCTAGTGATGCGCAGGAATATCAGAGCGCGCCTTCAGTGAAGGCCTTTATAAGATAACGATCATGTATCTTCTGTATTTGACCTAATTGCATTAAAAGCAACTTTTAAATACGATTAACTAATGTATAAACGTGTTGGTTTTGTATAAAAAGAGAGCGTTTGCCTTACCTCTACGTGAAGTGATAAGGTCCGGTTCTATATAACGAAAAAAGAGCTGCATTTGTTGTCATTCACCTCTTACGAGTAATTTTATGTTTCCTCTAGTTGTACTTATTCTGGAGGAAAACTATGGGAAAATGTTGAGTTAAAACCTTCCAGGATCCTTGTTTCGAACAACTCGTGTAGTAAATCTGATTGCTAAGTGCAACTGACTAAAAATAATAACACGAGCCCTTAATTCCTCTCCAATGCAAACAGCACATTACTGGATAATCCTGCACTTATGCCAACGCAGATGTTGTGAAACTGAAGAATGGCCGCATTTTTTCTTCGTCTGTATGTCAATAGGGTTTCCAAACCTAATCAACTATTTGATTTCAATTCACAATTTTCTGTTGTTGCGCTGCGAGGATCGCGTTTGAAGAATTGGCGAAATAAATGTGTTGATGATGGTACAGCACGAGAAATCGATGAAGGCAATCTTTGAGAAAAAGATTTTGATCTTAATTTTTAGGCGAGGGCGCGTCGATCCTGATCTCCTACTTCTTCTCTGATTGAATTATTTTTCTTCGTGAAAAAAGTGGGATTTGGGACGAGTGATATATTTCGCGTCTACAATGATTTTTACCCTCCACAACGCAAATGCTGTTTGACATTTTCTATTTAGTGTTGAATAATTATTCTTGTTCGTATCGCGCGGCGCTTAGTGTTGAATCAAACCCAATAGAAAAATAATTCTGCGATGCCGCGTAAGAAGAATTCCAAGAAATCCGAGGGTAGATCTACCTCCACGGCTTCATCGTCGTCGTCTTCGGGTCTCGCGCATCAATCTGTGGAAACTGAGGTTGAAAATGATTTAAAGCAAGAAACGATTGAAGAGAAAAGCATTCTTGAAGAGAAAGTGCCGAGAATCGATGCGGGTTCCAAGTCTGAATTCGATGTCCATGAGTTACAGCGAGCTGAAGAAAAATTCGGCATTCTTGCCACTCAGAAAAAGAAGTCTAAGAAACGTAAAAGTTCGAACTCCGCATTGGAGTCAGAACCGATCAGTACGGAAGACTTGGCGAGTGAACCGGTGGAAAAGATTCAAGGACAAAAGAAAATATGCGCGCCTTCGGTCAAGGACAAGGAGACGTCATCGAATGATGACGAGAAGATGCGGATCGTTCGTTCCCAGCAACTCGAATTTAATCAGATGACCGATCTGCGCAGTGCTTTATGTGCGGAGCTGCACTATAGACTTGGACTTGCGAAGGTTTGTTTTGGAGAAAAATTCGAGATTGAGAGATGGCTTCAAATTTGATTTTATCTGAAATGTGTAATTTCTTCGAATAGAGTCGATCATTTGAGCTTCGCGGATTATCATTTGAAGTTGAGAGTTCCGTTCCTGTGGTTTCGGAATATTTTATGTGTAATTATTTTTGAAAAGACCAGTAACAACTAACGACTAAGCGCTCTCTTGACCTTCAATAAATTGTGTCTACTCGTGCATATATCTTGCACTCGAGAATTCAGTGGCTACATCAGGGTATGATTCTGTGAGTTTCTTCGCTTGGTGCTGCACCTCAGGCTCGCACTTCGGTTCCTTCTATCATCGCTGCGTCTGCGGTGAAGGATAATCGTCCTCAAGCAACGAAACAAGCATCGAAGAAATCGTCCCCAAAGCGTGACGAATCTCAAGAGGAAATGAAGAACAAGAGCCGGAATGTATCCGGCCCTAAGCGTGCTTCGAACAAGAGCGCAAGCAAGGAAGATAAAAATACTACGGTACCGATTGCAGTCGTCTTGGCATGCTTGTGCAGATTGCCATTTGCAGCTCACCGTAGTGGAAGTTTCGTGCCTCAGTTCGCGGTCGCTTTCAATCCCTACTTCATTTTTTTTAATATTTTTTTTCGTTCGTGGGAAGTGAAGTGTTGTATTATAATTCTTTTCTGTCGGCACCTGCTCTGTTTTTTGGCGTTTGGTTGCAGTTGTTTTTCCGCGTTGTTCATTTATTTTTAAATTTCCGCCGCTATGTCATGCTACCCGTTCATTAGATTGCATGTGAAGTACTGTACTGTGTATTTTTGCATGTATAACGCACTTAATGCTTTACTGTATTAAAAAAAAAAAATTTCCTCCGTTTTTGCGCAAGTCTGCACGTGGTCCTTTGGGAGGTGAAAGTCTGACGAGTATCATTGCTGGTCGACGTGAAGAGTTGCAAAGGAAGAAAGAGGAGATGGGGGTATCAACCGGCAGCTCCGTTAATGATGAGGTCATTAATGCTCTGAAATCGGAGAAGGACCAGTTGAAAGCTCGTTAGTTAACTGTTTAAAGAGATGACAAAATGTTCTTTTCTGAAGAAAAATAATAATGTTCTTAGGTGTAACCGAGCTTGAGGCATTGCTGAAAAATTTGACCTTGCGTGTTGCTTCCTTGGAGGGTGGGAAGTCGGGTTCTGGAAGTACTTCTGCTCCTCCGAAGCAACCCGATGAAGCGAAGGCGGCTGATGACGACGATGACGTTGACCTGTTCGGAACAGACGATGAGGAGGAGGTAATTTCTTGTAGTATTTGAGGACGAACTTACTTCCTATCAACAGTTACGAGTGAAGTGTCGTATTGAGCGGCTCCTGTTCCTTCGTGGTTGCGTTAGTAATTCAATGTGGGGGAATTATGAGGTTTTTTCTATTGACAACATTTCAGGACGCTGCTGCAGCCAAACTCCGCGATGAACGTCTTGCCGCCTATGCTGCAAAAAAATCGAAGAGTAAGTTTTTTTTTTGCTCTTGCAAACCGACGCATGAATGTATTATCGATGAAATTCATTAGAGCCGCAAATCGTCGCAAAGTCAAGTATTCTTTTGGATGTGAAGCCATGGGATGATGAAACGGATATGCAGGCAATGGAAGAAGCCGTACGTTCGATAAAACACGATGGACTGCTTTGGGGAGCATGTGAGTTTTGCTATTCCTTGTCCTTGAAACAACTCGGGGCGAGGGATGTTCACTTCGTTCAACTTCTATCCATGTTTTTTTAACCATGCGTGACCTAAATATATGTATCGCGTATACTGACTTCACTTGGATACATTTACAGTACAGTATTATCATATGAATTGTTCGATGATTTTACCGCATGTTCTAACATTTCCCATTTTCTCTCTGAAGTATTAAAAAAATTAAATCTACGTTAGTTCTCTTTCGGAAGCGGTGGCGCGTATTGTCCTTGCACTAAGGAAATAGGGGAGCGTCCGAGGGGGTGGTCGTTGTATTATGGGTGCATCTATTTAATTATCTGCAATTATAATTTTAGCCAAGTTTGTTCCTTTGGCCTACGGAATCAAGAAACTCACGATTGGTTGCGTAGTTGAAGACGAACACGTATCAGTCGATTGGCTTCAGGAAGAGATCGAAAAAATCGAGGATTACGTAAGTTTTCCTGTTTGATTATCGTGAATTTTTTCATGAAACCACCGTACTTTTTTTTAGGTCCAGAGTACGGATGTTGCTGCATTTAACAAAATCTGAGCACTGTGCATTGATGGAGCCATTTCTCATACAGTCTGCTTCTTTTGTCCTAATTTCGGTTTTTTCCTGTCTGTAACTTCTGAGATTCTTCAAATAAGATTGCTCTGATGGAGAAAATCAGAAAATCATTCTCTTCACGTTTGCGACGGCGAAGACGCTTATAATCGTGGCGTCTCCGTTTAAATTCAGGTTATTTTTATTTTTGCGAATCATTCTCGAATTTTAATAATGAAAGATGAGAGCGATACCTACGTGGGTTGACAAGGTCCACGACCGGGATAAAACTGAACAATGGTGGGTTAATCCGTGTAATCATGAGTTTCAGTGTTGATTCAATTCTGCTGTTTTCTAGCATATATGACTTGTGCTTTAAACCTGATGGGACACAGTTGGTCGTTGCTGCCGGAAATCGCGTTCTAGTTTACGACACGAATGATGGATCACTCATCCAGCCCTTAAAAGGTACTTCTCTTTCGTATTTTTTCATAATTTCAGCAAGATTCTCCGTTTTTTCGTTGTCGTTCGAAGGTCACAAAGACACTGTAGTCTGTGTCTGCTACGCCAAGGATGGTAAGCGATTTGCCAGTGGAAGCATCGATAAGCATGTGATCATATGGACATCAAAACTTGAGGGCATTTTGAAATATTCGTGAGTTTTTTTTTTCTTGCAGCTTTGCGTGGCATCCATTTTTAAATGTGTAATCCGTCGCATAATTTTTTTGATGTTATTTCTTTCTGTAAGGGCATGTGTTGAAGCAATTGAAATTGCATTGCTTTGGAATTGCATGTGTTGAAGCAATTGAAATTGCATTAAAGCAATGCAATTAAAGCAATAGCAAAACTCACATGCTCCCCAAAGCAATGCAATTTCAATTGCTTCAACACATGCAATTTGCACTAATGCAATTTTTTATGATCTTGAATGTCCATTCGTATGACAGAGAGGGCGTGCACGCAGTCTTATTATATTCAATGAACTTCTGGCATTGCAGAACTGTGGATTTTTCTAGCTGAATCTCTTGATATTGCGAAGCAAATGCCGTGCAGTACAGTATTATTGATCGCGAATTGAAGTTCTGGTGGTCTCTGCACACAATTACGTAAAATGCGTACGTTTCAGTTGACCGATTGGTACAGTACTACAGGTAGTGAAAATATCGTCAAGCCTTAGTTTTCTGAACCATTATTTGGAGATACGTGGTTTATTGCTTCTTTATCAAAGCGCCCCAAACCTTGCAAAACATTGTGTTCTGGATGATGAGGTATCAACCTTGATTTCAAGCAGCTTAATGATGAGGAAATCTGAATTTTTTCTTCAGGCACAATGACGCAGTACAATGTTTGGCTTACAACCCTGTTTCTCACCAACTTGCATCGTGTGCCATAAGTGATTTTGGGCTTTGGTCTCCGGAACAGAAAAATGTTCATAAAACAAAAGTTTCCTCACGCGTCAATGCCTGTGCGTGGACGAACGATGGGCAGTACTTGGCGCTTGGAATGGGCAACGGCACTGTGTCAATCAGGAGTAAAGCTGGGGAAGAAAAAGTTCGTATTGAAAGGCCCAAAGGTCCGAATTCAGCGGTGTGGTGCGTCGGTTGGAACCCCTCGCAGTGAGTACATTATTTTTTCAGAGAAACAGTGCTTTAGCCAAGACAAAAAAAAAATACATTTTTCAGAGATGATAATCACGACATCTTGTGTGTGGGTGATTGGGGTCAAGTCATGTCATTTTACACTCTGAGCGGAAAGTTGGTATGTATATTTAGGAAGAAAAAAATAATACATTGAAGAATACGAGTAACTTTTATAGATTGGAAAAGAAAGAGCCTTAGGGTTTGACCCTTGTTTCCTGCGGTATTTCCCACGCGGCGAGTATATCTTGGTTGGCGGATCCAACAAAGCATGCCTGCTTTACACTCGTGAAGGAGTAAAGCTGGGAAACATTGGTGATCATGCCTCTTGGGTTTGGTGTGCGGCTGCTCGCCCTGACTCACACTACGTTGCCATCGGGTGTCAAGACGGCACAATTGCATACTATCAACTGGTTTTTTCCACTGTGCACGGGCTCTACAAGGAACGCTATGCTTTCCGAGAGAACATGACGGACGTAATTGTTCAACATCTGATCACCAACCAGAAAGTCCGAATCCGTTGTCGAGACTTGGTGAAGAAGATTGCCATCTACAAGAATCGCTTGGCAGTTCAGTTACCGGAAAAAGTGGTCGTTTACGAATCGTACGTTGCTCCCAATGTCGCTGATGACGGTGGCGCAGGAGATGAAAATTCAGGACCAGAAGCGCTTGGCTCGCAGGTGGAGGAAATGCGGTATAGAGCCCGGGAGAGAATCAATCAGAAGCTTGATTGCAACCTTCTGGTGGTTTGCACGAATCATCTCATTTTGTGTCAGGTATTACGAGTTGAGATTTGTGGCTAGTTATATTTACTTCATTTTAAATTCCCGATGTAGCTTTCTGTAAATCGAGCTGGATCTAGCTTGAATTACATCAGTTGCTACTACCACCAAAAGCATCTTCCCCAAACTACGCGTGACTTTATCTAACATAATCCAGACGTATCTACTGTACATGACATGACGTCGTCTATTCCGAATCAAACTGAAGCCGAAGAGCAAAAATACTGTCCATAGTTATCCAGTGACGAATAAAATTAATCGGGAACCTTAGCGTTGAAATGAGAAAAGCAATTTTGTTATTTTTATCTCTGTCTGATGGAGCCCTCGAACATCAAGACATTTCGTCGAGTTTGATAATAGTGTACGGTATTTAAATTTGTGTAAATTTAAATCAATTCCACCTTTCAGCTAAATTCATCAACATGGTCACATTCATCGGTTCCAACCCCTCAAACATATTACCGAAATTTTCTTTCATTCACCTCTGTAGGAGCGTCGCTTGCAAAGCATGACGCTTGCTGGGAATCGTGAGCGTGAATGGGAGTTGGACTCTCCAATAAGATACATCAAAGTCATTGGTGGAACCCCTGGTAAAGAAGGTCTACTTTTGGGCCTGAAGAGCGGTCAAGTTTTGAAGATTTTCTTGGATAACGCATTTCCGGTTCATCTATTGAAAGCGCCAACTGCAATTCGATGCTTGGACTTGAGCATGTCTCGTAAGAAATTGGCAGTTGTTGACGAAGATGGAAAATGTCTTGTTTACAATACCCAATCGAAGGAGCTCCTGTTCCAGGCATGGTGCCCCGGGTTTGACAATCGTCAGCGATATTTGTTGAATCTTGAAATTATTTTCCAGGAACCTAATGCAAATAGTGTTGCATTCAATACGCAGTTTGACGACTTGGTATGTTTCTCTGGACAGAATACTTTGACGATTAAAGCCTCTGACTTCGCTGGACAACAACAGAAATTGAATGTACGTCATGTATTCTTTTTCTCCGATTGATCTTTTTGACGCTTGAATTCATTTTCAGGGATTCGTTGTGGGTTTTGCCGGGTCCAAAATTTTCTGTTTGTACATGTACAACATGGAAACGATTGAAGTACCCTTGTCCGCTCCCATGTATCAATTTTTGGAGAGAGAACGTTTCATGTTGGTTGAAAATTTCTCCTGTCATTCGTGTATTTTCTTAATTCTCGGCATTTTCGTAGTGATGCGTATGAAGTTGCCTGTTTGGGGGTAACTGAAAGTGATTGGCAGAATCTCGGACATGCAGCTCTTGAAGGATTGGAATTGATGACCGCGAAGAAAAGTTTCACCAGGATCCGTGATCTCATGTATTTACAGTTGGTGACGTCGATTGAGGTGCGATGAACTAACTTACTCAAGTATTCGTTCGCATTTAAAAAGAAATTATTCCTATTTGGACCTCGTTTAGGATCGCCTCAGAAGGGGAGAAACTGATAGAAGTGTATTCGTGGCCGATGTGCTTGCGTATGAAGGGAAGTTCACAGAAGCCGGAAAATTATATAAGAAAGCCGGAAAGGAGCAAAGTGCGTTGGAAATGTACACGGATCTCAGAATGTTCGATTTAGCTCAAGTACGTTGCATTTTGTTCGTCATTATGCAGAATATGATCACTGTGATGATTTACTGAACGATTTCCGATCGATTATTACTCGTGGAGACTTCCTAGTAGGCCATCTGAGTTGTCTTATCAGAGAAAATCAACTTAATTTCAATCTTGCATGCCTGAAAAGCCGGTCACTCTTGTTTCTCCAGGAATTTGTTGGTTCAAGCGATGGAATAGATCGAAAGCAGCTGATAAAGAAGAAGGCGGAATGGGCCCAGAACGTCAATGAACCGCGTGCCGCTGCAGAAATGTTCCTATCTGCTGGTGAAACTCTGAAGGCGATCAAGATCATGGGAGAAAATGGATGGGTGGACATGTTGGTTTAAGCTCATTTCAAAACCTTTTTATTTTCATGAATCTTCATTTTTAATTCTAGGTTGGTTGAAGTCGGTCGAACGCTGGACAAAGCAGATCGTGATGGGCTCGCATCGTGTGCCGCATACCTCCGAAAACTTGGTGGGTTTCTTGAGTTTCCGCTAGATAATGACTTAATCGGGAGATTTAACTTTCGCAACTGCAGGACAGCTCACGTACGCCAGTGAGCTGTACAATCGTATTGGTGATCAAGAGTCCATTGTCGACTTATACGTGGAAGCCAAACAATGGGAAGAAGCGTTTTTATTGGCTGAGAAACATCCGGAATTCCGCCAACGCATTTATATGCCCTACGCGCAACATCTGGCAGAAATTGACAATTTCATCGAAGCACAGCAAGGTGAGGTAGAAAATAGACTTTTGGATACTGCAGTGATATGTAATGCGTTTTTCCGTCCGGAATATTTTGCCGTGCATCAGCTTTTCATCGAGCCGGTAGACTTGATGAAGCATTCCATGTACTGGAGCAGCTGACTGTGAATGCTGTGAACGAGCGAAGGTTCAATGATGCTTCGTATTATTATTGGGTCCTTTCCATGCAATACCTGGAAGTTGCTGGAGAAAAGTAAGATGTGTTATTGTACTTCATCAAAATTGTATAGCCGTTATTTCATTGTTTCGAACATGAATGTTTCCGAATTCGAAGATTTGATGATTGAAAATATTGTTTGTGTTTCAGTGCTGACACCAAAGACGCTATGTTACGTGGTTTTGAACAATATCAACGTCGAGCTGAAGTTTACTACACATACCACGTCGTCCAGCGATATACGGTAAGCATTACCAAGTAAAGTCATTGTTGGTATCAGAATAATCAGTCTAAACTCCGAAGGATCAACTAATTTACATTTCTTTATACCTTTTGTCCATTTTTCAGGACGAACCCTTCACGTCGTACACATCGGAGCAATTGCTAAATGTTGCCCGATTCCTTGTGCATTGTCTCATGCACCCTGGAAGTGGTAACCAAAGTTCGGCTCCACGTGGAGTATCCCGATTTTCGGCGTTGTATGCTTTGGCGCGCCAAGCGAAGAATCTTGGCGCATTCAAAACAGCGCGATATGCATTAGACAAGCTGCAACAAGGTGTTCGCATCCCAGTGGATTACCAGGAGGCTGTTGACCTCGCTGCGATTTCAATACGATGCAAGCCGTTTCAGGACAACGATGATCTAATGCCGCATTGCTATCGATGTTCGACGACCAATGCCCTAATAAACCAGCGAGGCGACAAATGTTTGAACTGTTCACAGCCATTCGTGCACAGTTTCATTCATTTTGGTCAGTTTTCTTTTGTTTCCATCAAAAGTCTTCCCGTTATTCTCCCTCTCCTAAAGTAGCTCTAGTAGTCTTGATGCAATTCTTGTGGCTGACGAATCTTCTTATACCCATTCGAACGGATGACGAGTGCAGTTCTAGTCCTTCGTATACCCCTTCGAACGGATGACGAGTGCAGTTCTAGTCCTACTATTGAACGTTGATCGACCTGTGTGAACGAAACTAGGAGTTTCGACCCCTCATATTGAATGCTTGTGAACTCAAGGTTTTTTTTTCTGTAGAAATTCTGCCTTTGGTGGAGTTCGTTCTTGATCCAGGTATCACAGACGCCGAAGCTGTGAAATTGATAGAAGCTGCGCCTGGTGCTACCGAGTTGCTAGCGGGAAGTGGTGAAAAAGACAAACGTAGTTGGAAGGAAGAAAGGTCCGGGAATGCCCAGGCTTTACGGCTTGATGAGGACGATGACGAAGAGGAAATGATACGCATGAGCTCTGGCATTGGAGAACGAGATGAAGATTCAGATCCTTTCTCATCGAAATTGCTTGCTTATGAGGTGAGCTTTGTATGAGTCAAGTTCAGATCGATTCCAATTGTCTGAACCAACGACGTGATGCCTTAACGAGCATAATTGTATTTTTATAATTGCATCAATATTTATTCCATTTCAAGAATTTCCCGACGTCATTTTGCTTGCTATTTCGGTCAATGTCGAATTTCGTACACCGGATCATAATTTGGAATAATTTCCTATTCAAGGGTGGCGGAGCTGATTATTACCCAATTCACGTTGGACGGAAAGCGCTGATATCTCTGGAACCCTCCGAAGTCATTATTTGCGTGTGGCCACCGCCTTTGAAAAATCGGTACTACCGCAATCTCTTGCCAGATATGTCAATATCGAAATGTTCATCCTGCAATAGGGTAAATGTTCATTAAATCATCTTCTAGGATGTTTTTTATCACGTTTGAAACATTTTCAGTTATTCTTGACGGAAGACTGGGAATTGAGCATTTTGCAACATGGACATTGCCCGTTTTGCAGAGCTGTACAGTTTACCGGATCCGGAGAGAAAGAATCCCCAATTTTCTGAACGAAGAATTTTGCTTTTGGTGTGATCATATTCATTGAACTCGTTGGTGCAAAACACAAGTCGAAGTGAAGAGTCTCGCTGATGAAATTCGTCGCCGTCCAATGCGCACATTTATGCGGATGAAATCCCGTGACCTCAAAAGATTTTTTGTTTGAAAAAAATCATGATCTGTGTATATTTGGAATTTTGCACGTCCGATTTTTGCCTGTACTACGTGTGTTCACTGTGCTCAGCCGTCCGAGCGACGATGTAAATGAACGATCTCTGTAATTGTGCCCTGAATATTTGTCGGAAATTTCCTCGTTCAATCTGTTTTTATCGTTCACCAGAGTATCAGAAACGAGGTTTCGTTTAAAAGGGGAGGAATGATTGAGAAAGAAGTTATAGGCGTTGAACCTATTACCTGCCATGCATGGAACAAGGACAGGACTCGTGAGTCACGCAATTTTCTTAATTTCGAGCTGTTTATGCATGCACTCCCTTTTTCCTCCCACAGAACTAGCTTTATCGCCGAATAGTGATGAGGTTATCATCTTCCGCGTTCACAACATTCCTGATCGAAAATACGAAAAGCTTCACGTTCTAAAAGGTCATGACCTCAAAGTAAATTCCATCGACTGGGCACCGAACTCCAACCGTATTGTGACCTGCTCTGCGGTGAGTAAATCCGTAATTATTAGATGCGTCATGTGATTGATTTTGATCATGTGCTAGGATCGGAATGCGTACGTCTGGACTTTGGCTGATGATAAAAAATGGAAACCAACGAAAGTGTTACTCCGAATAAACAGAGCTGCGACCTGTGTTAAATGGTCTCCCTTGGGTGAGTACTTGAATGGTTGAGATGAGTTCCTTGTTTACTTGGTTCTTTTTCTAATCCGAAGAAAACAAATTCGCGGTTGGAAGCGGCGCGAGAACGATATCCGTTTGCTACTTCGATAAGGACAACGATTGGTGGGTATCGCGACACATCAAGAAGCCGATCAAGTCGACTGTAACGTCCTTGTCATGGCATCCGAACAATGTATTGCTAGCCGCGGGATCGATGGATTTCAAGGTACAATTTTCCCATGATTTTTGAATGAGCTCTGATTAATCACTTGCTCTTCCAGGCAAGGATATTTTCTGCATACATTAAAGAAATCGAAGATAAGCCCGCCGCTACTCCTTGGGGAGCCAAAATGCCCCTGGGGCAATTGATGGCGGAGTTTTCAAATTCATGTCTCGGTGGTAATATTAGAGAAATGTGAGATCTTTGAGCGCTCATTTTATTGAGGCGTTATATTTTTTAGGAGGTTGGGTCCATTGTGTGGCATTTTCACCCAGTGGAAATCGGTTGTGCTGGGTCGGACACGACGCCTCGCTTTCGGTGGTCGACTCCGGGGTGGGGTCAGTGGTAAAAACTACTCGAACCGAAAACCTTCCATTCCTCGCTTGCATGTGGATTTCGGAGAACGAAATCGTTGCTGCGGTAATTTTCATTTTATTTAGTGAGACGTTTTAGGTAATACGATAATTTCAATTTTTTGGGGGGGATACGATCAGGGGCACGGATGCTGTCCAATATTGTATGGTGTTGGAAGTGACGGAACTCCGAGCTTTTGCGCCAAAATGGACACCAGTCAAAAGAAAGAGACTTCAGGAACATCGTGAGTGTACCTTGTTGTGTTCGCGTAGATCGTGTGAACGGTGTAGATATCAGATTCAAAGCGAATGAATTTACCATGATTTTTTTAGGGCCATGAGGAAATTCCAGTCATTGGACAAGCAAGCACGATCCGAGTCAGCAGATACAACTTTGCCATCTGTGCATCAAAACTCGATTACGTCACTTTCTTACATGGGATCTAGTGGAACAAAAAGACAAATCACTACCACTGGTGTTGATGGCGCTATAGTAATGTGGGCCGTGTGATTTAATCACCATTATCTGCTTTTAAATGTTCTTCCGTTGGGTTTAAACGTAATATGCTTTGCTCCACTTCGCACATGGTATGCATATTCCGAGATATCCCATTTAATAAGTCATAATGGTTAAGTTATTTTATGTTTCGTTTTTCGGATTTGCTTTCTCTGCGATTGTTGCTTACAGGCTATTACAACTGTTTGGAAATCGTGTTCAGTTTCTTTTCGTTGAAATTCGAATGGTATTTTTGCCCAGTAAGAGGTGCTTTCGGAAATGTCGACGTTAAACACAAAACTTTTTTTTATCTTTCTGAGTACCAGCGGGTACTGCTGATTTTATGGATGATTCCTGAAATTAAGATGCCGTCTGGATGTGTGGCAATTATGAAAGTTTCGGCAGTTGGTATCCAGAAATATGATGTTAGGAATTGAAAGGCAACCATCCCCTATATACCTTATGCATCAAATGCTGCTTGCTGTTGATATCTGTCATGATCTTGAATGCCTACAAGCGGTTAAAAACTTTACAGGTGTCAACAATTTCCGTGTTGAGCAGAAAATTTACTAGCTGATAAATTAGAATTAATCGTAATTTAGTAATAACTGTACAGTACTTGAGTACTGTACCATAGATGCCCTTTCTGAAAAAGCAAGGCAGATAAGGGGTGTGTGGGCATGGTATTAATTTTTCCAAGTAAAAATTGTGAAACTAAAAGTACAGAACATAGGTAATTCTGCACTGGTGAAACTATTGATCAGGAAATTTTGTTTTGCCCAAATCCAATTGAAATCTCCGTGCCATGTATACAAATAGGATTACTTAGTTACATGTTCTCATCTGAAAAAATGGAGATTTTCAACCATGTAAAACTGGAGTGTACTTTTTTATGCAGGCTTACTTCTGGTTGCATTTCAGACCAAAAATATGAGGGAATGCTTCTTACTCAAGGTTCCATGGTACTCAAGTAAATAGTTTTTCACCAGTTGAACTTATGAATGTACAAAAACAAATGCAGTTGGAATTTGCTTTGAACTTAAGACAAGCCCATTTACTGAAAAAAAAGGTCTGTAACTTCTCTTAGTAAAAACCTGCTAGATGGGGACATGACATGCAGACACTGGCACCCAGTATTTCCTTGGATAACATACCCCAAATTTCCTCTGTTAATTTGGATGCTCAAACTCTAATGTTAATTCAAAAATATTTTTACCTTGTTAGTTCAAAGATATTTTCATGTTGCAGGTTTTAAACTCCCATAACTCACACTAACCTAACTGCCCCTGAATAATCAGTTTTTGCAAAAACAGAATTCTGCTAGAACTGATCATGTTTTTTTGTCAATTTGGATGCTTATACCCTAATGTAAATTCAAAGATATTTTTAACTACAATGACCTAACCTAACCACCGTGAAGTCAGGTTTTGCAGAATTCCGTTTTTTCAAAATTCTACAAAAATGACTCGACTTCAGGGGTGGTTAGGTCAGCTTATGGAAGTTGGGAATATCTTCAAATTTGACATGAACTTACCTAACCTAACTGCCCCTGTAGTCAGTTTTTGTAGAATTTTGCAAGAACCTAATGGCTAATGGCACCCATTAACCTAACTGCCCCTAAAGTCAGTTTTTGTAGAATTTTGCAAGAACCTAATGGCTTCAGGGGCAGTTAGGTTAGGTCAGGTTATCTGAGATAAAATTTTGAAAATATCTTTGAACTAACATTAGGGTATAAGCTTCCAAATTGATAGAGGAAAAGAATGTTTCTGGAAACTTCACTGTAAAAGTATTTCAACATTTGTCCAGGGGAATGTCATTCAAGGAAAGGTGGAAGTCGTCGGGGTTACGCCGTTGGGGCGGGATGTGGCGTCTTCAGGCGTGACGGTTTGCTTGCCCAAAAATGCATGCCAAAATCAAGAGGAATATTTGAAAAATTGAACTAAATTCATGGATTGTTTTTCATAACTTTTGCATTTACGTAGCAAAGGGTAATAAATTACCGCATTAGACAGGCACTTGAGGCGCTCTCTTCTAGCTGATTAAAAACGCAGTCTACACCATGGTCACATGAATCACGTACTGTACAACAAAAATCGGGCTGCTAAGGGGTAATGATCCGACGGTACACCTAAAGTTGGAATTCGCCCCACAAGTTCGCAATGATCGGCTTGAAGCATGCGCTGCCGTGAAAAGAGTCGCAAACGGTTCTCCACTCGTTTTCCAACTTTCGGATGGAAAGGGGTGCTGAAGAGAGAGCAAAGAAACACATGAACGAAATCGCATCGAATCTTGGGAACTCATGGACACTTACGTGTAAAATATGTGGTCAACGGTAATCCATCTTTCTTGAAAAGTAGACGCATGGAATGTAGAATCGTCATCGGTCATCGTGTGGCGATACACAGATTGAAACTCGAGGTCGTGGGTTAATGTTCCCGACCGGAAAAGATTGGGAAATCTCACAGATTTATCACGATCGGAGACAAATTTTGGCACCCTGCAGGGTTCACCATGTTCTCTTTCACTCATGTTGTCACGCCACTTCATGTTCTGATCTTCCAGAGGGACGCACTTGTTCATCCAGAATCTCTCGTTAATTGCGAGACGAGGTTTTTCTGGAGGAAATCGAACGGATGCCCCTATGCTGGAGAAGTAATCCTGCAAGTCAGAAATTCAGTTCAGTTTTCTTCGGCTTTCTCATCGGATCAGTTGATGTTAGCTTACGTAAGGGAACGCAAAAACAACCGAAGAACGTCGTAAATTATAAAACGAATTCTGCCTATCCATAGATATAAATCATAAAAAGGTCGACGCATTACGCGAAGAGGAGAGCAGTTATAACATACCGAATTTTCAAAATCAGTTTTTTGTTGCCTATGTTCTGTGGTGATTTCAGGTAATAAATGGTATCGTGAATAACTTAAGAACATAACTTTGCCATGAAAATGCGTTGTAAACAATGAAAATGCTCCCTGACAACTCATGAGTAATTCAATGCGATTTACATCTGTACATGTTCATTAAAAGTCCGTTCTGTGTGACGGCGTCAGGAATCTTCGCAGTCAAGTAACAGAAACAGGAAATACTCGGGGTGGGGGCCGAGTTCTGAATGCCGGAAGAACAGCTTTTCATATGATCTAATTAGATTTATAATATTGTTACGGTGTTATTCTTCTTGTCGCTTCACGACGTTGGATTCTCATCTTCATTCACTACACTGCTACAGACTGACATTCTCTTTGCGTCGAATAGGGAGTTAAGCGCTTCTACGATTCACAGTACTATTTAGACGCTTTTCGCATTACGGATCACATCGGCGGCAGTTCTTACATGAATTTCGTGATCATTTATCCCTTTGAACCTGAGGCGCTCCAGTGCAACATGAACATGTTGACAAGTATCTGTGATACCAACAGAAAGCGGTAGCATTTCGTCTCGCAATTCCTGTCCCCACTGATCAGTGGTATTTAGAGAACCAGCGAACTTCGATTGGAATTCAAAATATCCGCGAGTGACGAATTCGTACTCGGGACACACGGGTCCGAAATTGAAATCGCCACACAGGATCACGGGTTTGTACCTGAATGGATTAAAATCAAATTAATAATCAAATACTAATCTCTCGCTCTTGCGCAATACCTTGGCTTATTCCCATAGGACGGATCTTGACCAACGAATGTGAGACGATCCAGCTCAGCAAGTAAAATAGCCATCTGAGCCAATCTAACATCGTGTCGCCGAGGATTGTACAACAAATGAGTCGTTGCAATGAAGAAGGAGTCCTGCATTTTTGCGTTTCTTGCTTTAAGCTCCAAGATTAGACCAATGTTATCACTGTAATTTAAACATGTTATTTAGTACAGGAACGTGATATTTCCAGCGGTTCCATGCGGTCAACAAAGTAAACGTCAAGGATTATTTTAATCGGGCAAAATAAATACTCGTTGCGAATTACAATACCTCCAATGATAGCCAAAATGTTGACCAGCTTCAAATACCCTTCCTCGAAAATACGCGGAAACATAGAACTCGATCTACGACAACGCCTGATTACATTCATAGGCAAGAATCTAGACGGAAACAGTGTCATCGGATCATGCTCGCCATATCGTCAACCATGTTAATCTGAAAGGAAATCGTGAATAACGTTTACCGATTTAAAAGTCGAATGCCAGGAAAGAAGAACTCTACTTCCGTCACTCCAACGAAATCGAAGCAATGACTTTTGTAGAATATGGCACATCCGTCAACTTTCCCCCCAGTTTTTCTCTTGTACACGGCTCGGTAACCTACAATTATGAAAGTTGCAGCTCATAGGGTTAATCGCAATGGATGTTTCAAAGTACTCACCATGACGCTTCATTTCTGGCAAAAAGTTTCCGTAGTAATGATTCTCTTGAAGTTCTTGAAGGCAAATGACCTATCAGGAGACCGAGTTACTATGGTCAGCTTTCGTTCCTTCAAATCTACTGTCAAAGTAATTAATTGGACATACATCGCAGCCATTCATCACGATTTCCCGTAGAAGATTTCGTCTCCTTGCGGGCCAACACAACGCAACGGATGAACAGCCACGATACAGATGTGGTATTTCGATGACGTAATGCTGAGCAAGGATGTTGTAGGTCATTACGCTGAATTCGAAGGCCCTTCCACGTTCGTGAGCTACGTGAAACGACTGCGTCAATCACTCATGAGTTACGTGTGCATTTGATGACAATAACCTGAACAGATCGCATGAGACTTCCATTCCGGCTCCTCCCAGGCACGTTCGCAATACACCCTCTTCGAGCATTCCATCGCTGAAGAAAGGCGTTCAGAACCCGTTAGGAATAAAAACCTATCAGTCCTCATATCGGAACCATGGATGCGGCTAAATTCCGAATCTCACCCTTCTCATCAACGATTTTCCAGAACTCTTCAGGATTCGCGTTGGCTAAGAGGCGAATTCTATCAATATATTCCACTCCATTTAGAGCTAACACAGATCCGTGCAGGCCCTATCAAAAACAAATCCTGTACCATTGCAAACATTATACTGTATGCGTTTCCCGAACCTGCTGGTGCTCTGCTTCGCTGCTCTGCGCCCCATCTTTGGATTTCTCTCGTTCTTCAAGGGATCCTACACCAACCTCTGGGCTTAGCGGCTCCTTGCATTTCTTCGCTTTATTTTTTGAATCAAATATAACCTCGACGTCATCCGTGTCGGACATCTTGGAATATCGCCGTTCTTGAAAGATTGATTTCCCTTCCCTAAAACTCCTAATGAGTACGTGGCCAAGTCTCAGCTCCGAGGATGATGCGGAATCCGCGTAGCACGAGGTACACAAAGCTGTCCGAGATCTATATCCTCGCAACAAATACCGAAGTACCGGTAGGCGAAGAGACTTTAGGATGGCTTTGATTCTCGTCGTGGGGTACGGGGTTAACGTCAGGCTCATTCCACTTGAATAAATAGTGCGATTAAAAAATTCCCTTAGTCTAAACATCGCCAAGAAGTTTGCAATAGAAATAGAAAAACATTAATCAAGTTTCGTTTTCACATTGTCACAACCGTAGCGAAAGTGAATTTTCGCGCACACAAGAGTCGTCAGAGCGACTCACTTTAATTCAATACGGTACTCAAAACCTTAATTGTAGGTGACCAATACTTGCTGTCTTCCTGTACTGTACTGTAAATAATTTATATTTTAATGCGGAGAGTGACATTCCCAGTCCTGTTGAAACCGAGCTGCTAACACGGCACCAAAGCTCTGTTACATTTGAGAACTCACTCTTGAACTTATTAAGATGATGAACAGGAGGCCATCTTTGCATTCCTGCGTGATCGCTGGGTTATTCTATCAAGGTAAGGTCGAAATATTTGGAGAAGTGAGCTGGATTCAAACGACAGCGTTAAAATCAAATCGTCTCTTAAAATAATCGATGTGGAATTATAACTAATTTTCCCAGTAATACCAGGAAATTACTGTGTGAGCATAGCTTCCGTAGTTTGCGCTGCCTTTTTTTCCGTCAACCGGTTAAACCTGTTGGATAACGTAAAAGCCAGGTTCCGTTGAAGGCGTCCTTGACGAAGCATCTTCGACCTAACTGATGATTTTGGTCAACGTGAAACGTGCGGGAATTGTCGAGTTCATTTGTACGAGTTGCATTGAGTAGGCACGCCGTGAGCGAGAATAATCCTCTCGGTGCTGCCTCGCGCGTGTTTGAATCCACATGATACGGAGTGATGAGTTTTAAATCAAGGTTTCATTTATCGAATTTCCAGAACAGAAAGTTTTTGGATTTCAAAGAAGTCGGCGCGAGAGAGATACGTCGTGAAGAATTATCAGTACGTGTATGATTCAAGAGTCTTCGGGCCTGAGTGCGGTAGAAGTTCAGCTTTATGATGGTCAACACCACTTCGGCGGGTTCACGGTATATGGGAGTTTGAATTATGGCGAACTAGGTGGAATGTTAACTAATTACATTTTCAGGGAGGCGAAGACGAGTGTGAACGAAAAAGAATGGAAATCGTCTCTGAAACCACCACCGAAGGATATGCGTGTAAAAACCTCGGTGAGATCAATGCGAACTTTCGTTGATTCCCGATATCTGAAGTTTATTTGTGTTATAGGATGTCACTGACACAAAAGGTCATGAATTCGAAGATTTCTGTTTGTCACGTGAGATGCTTATGGGTATCTTTGAACAAGGCTGGGAGCGTCCGTCCCCAATTCAGGAATCTTCGCTTCCGATGGCGCTAACTGGGAGGGACGTTTTGGCACGCGCTAAGAATGGCACCGGGAAAACTGGTGCTTATTCAATTCCTATCTTGGAACGGGTAGATCCGAAGTTTGAAACTATTCAAGCTCTTGTGCTGGTGCCAACTCGCGAACTGGCTCTACAGACCAGCCAAATTTGCACAGAACTGTCGAAGCACAAAAAGTTGCGTGTCATGGTGAGCACTGGTGGTACTGATCTCCGTGAGGATATCATGCGAATAATGGAGAAAGGTAAATTAGCGTCGCCCCAGGAAGACGTATGTGTAGGTTCGCTTGTGCTCATCTCGAAATCGTCTTCCTTCAGTTCATGTTATCATCGCAACGCCTGGCAGAATTCTGGACTTGATGGAAAAACGGGTAGCTGACATGAAAAATTGCAAAATGCTAGTATTGGATGAAGCGGACAAGCTGCTCAGTCAAGATTTTTTGAATACTCTTGACCGACTCATCTCATTTTTGCCGAAAGATCCCCAGATACTTTTATTTTCGGCGACTTTTCCGTTGACTGTCGAAGAATTCATGAGGAAGCACCTGAAGAATCCGTTTGAGATCAACCTCATGGAGGAGCTCACGTTGAAGGGTGTGACTCAGTATTACGCCTTTGTTCAAGAACGTCAGAAAGTGCATTGCCTGAACACATTGTTTTCCAAGGTTTGTTGTCTTCCGCGAGTGAGAGTTCAGTTTCGGGCTTCATGAAGATTTCGATTTTAGTTGCAGATCAACCAGAGCATCATCTTCTGCAATTCCACGCAGAGGGTCGAGTTGCTGGCTAAGAAAATTACAGAGCTTGGTTATTCCTGCTACTACATTCACGCCAGAATGCAACAGGCTCACCGGAACAGAGTTTTTCATGATTTTCGGAATGGACTCTGTCGAAATCTAGTTTGCTCAGGTTAGTGCGAAGTCAAGTTTTCCCCAGCTCTGTAGTATAACGTCGTATTTCTTCAGATCTCTTCACCAGAGGCATTGATATTCAAGCCGTGAATGTTGTGATCAATTTCGATTTTCCGAAAATGGCTGAAACGTACCTGCATCGAATTGGTCGGTCTGGTCGATACGGTCACCTCGGTATCGCAATTAACCTCATTACTTACGAGGACCGCTTTGCCCTTCATCGTATCGAGCAAGAGCTTGGAACAGACATTAAACCTATCCCGAAGGTACGAATTTTTATCACTCGTATGAGTTGTTTCTCGTAGCATCAATTAACCGTATCTTCGCCGGTTTTAGTCCATAGATCCGAAGTTGTATGTGGCGGAAATGCAGCAGGAGGATCTCGATGACCCCATTAGTGGCAAGTGAAATCTCTCGCGGAACATTGGAACACCATTTGTGACGGAAGTTTTTGAATGAGCCCTTTGAGTTTTCATGTTCTAAATGTTCAGCGTTTCAAGGCTGACCCGTCAGTTCGGGCTATTATGTTGAAAGGATAAGATGGAGCAGAGATCAGCCTTTTTCATTGCCGAGTGACGGCTCTTCGGTCCAATCTTGCTTAGCTTATTTTTGTTACGTCTCCTTGAGGTCTCCCTTGCGCAGTTATAACATGTAAACTGTCGGACTAAAGTCTACACCGACGATTTTCAAGGGAGTTATTGTACACTGATTCTTTGCCTCTTCCTGGTTATTGATTTTTTCACTCAAGGTGCGCGTGTTTTTATTTTTTCGTCGAGAAATTGCGTCAGTTACGTCGTTGTTCTGAAAGGCGCTCACGATGACCAGCATCTCCGGTTCGTGAGAGTCCGGCGGGTTTTCAGCGACGGCAACTGAGTTTAAGCCTGTACTGTACTGCGGCAGTTCCGATTTTTTTTTCTCCGTCGTTCACTGTGATAGTTAATTTTTGATGATCGTTGAACGTTTTGGCTATTGGAGGAACACCGTGAGCTCCAACTGGTCGTCGGCCTTTAATTGATCGTGTGAGAATGGTGATAAATCCGGAGATCAGCGACCCGCGGGTTCAGTAGCTTTGTGTATCTTTTAAAATTTCCCTGTCGCGACGCGGTCGGTACTTTTACAGTGCCGTCAGAGTAGTCCTTTTGATATCTGTTCGCTAAACTTTTCTGTCATCTGCGGGTCGAATTCTCTTCTTTTCATGTTTCCCTGTTGTAGCATCTGCGTCGCTCTTCCTATGAGGTTTATTCGATATTTCTTGGTTGATCCTTCCCGAGGAATGCGATTCAAATCTCCTTTACTGTCTTGAGGTCCGTGAAAAACTTTGCTTCTAAGCAAAATTTTCACACTTTTTAATTTCTTTTGGAGGATCAAAAAAAAATCTGAAAAATCGAAAAAACTACACGCAAACGAGTTGAGAAGATGGATGAAAAGTTGGATTATTCCGTAGAAGGATGTGAAATGTCCCTTGACTTAAGACCATGCGTAGGAAGGAATTGTTGAACATCGTGAAGAAGATAAGCATGAGATCATGCGAAAAAGAAATTCGTTGAACATCGAAGAGAAAGATCGAATGGGACGGAAATTCGGGTGTTCTTTAATCACACATCTTTGGTCAATAGTTTAGCCTAGTCCTCAACACCGACCTAAATTCTGTGTTTTGTTATCTAGATCACTTTTCGGTCCCCTCGAAAACCTCGCGCAGGTTTTTCTCCTGTTTGGGCCGAAAAGTCTTGATTAATAATGGAAGTGAACAAGGATGAAGCTATAAGGTGTTATGAGATCGCTAGAGAACATTACCGAACTGGTCGGCAAGAGAGAGCGGAAAAGCTACTGAGGAAATCGATATCGTTGTTCCCTACGCCCGAAGCGGAAGGTAAGTGGTTGTCCGATTTTCTGCTTTTTCTGTACATTTTATCTTATGTTTAGAACTGTTGGAGGAAATCGGAAATAAGCGTCGTTCTAGTCATGGTGGAAATGATCATGGCACACGTACTTCGTCCAACTCTCGTACGAGCAGTGAAGATAAAACATCTGGTCAAACCTTCCCCAACTCAGAATCCAACTATTCGACCGAACAGATCGAGGCAGTTAAAAGGTTTGTTGACTTCTCTATGAAAGTGCTTACATAACTTAAAATTTCTCCGTCTAGTGGGCGTTATTCGATTGAGGCCTAAAGTCGAATATGACAAGTTTATTTTTCGATTTTTTAGAATATGGGATGAAGATAAACCTGGTCTAATGATTTCTACTTATTCGACCTCAAGAGTTGTTCCCTCCTAAAGTTTAGAAAAATTAGGCCCTGTTAAAAATTTTAATGAGTGGACATGATCATGACTTCCATGATTCTTTTTTTTGTTGGTTTAATGAAAATGTTATCTTCAAGGGTCAAATCCTGCAAGAATTTTTACGAGATTCTGAACGTTTCAAAAGACGCCGCGGACACAGAGTTGAAGAAGCAGTATCGCCGATTGGCACTGCTGCTACATCCGGACAAGAATAAGTTACCAGGTGCTGCGGAAGCTTTCAAAGCAGTTGGCAACGCTTACGCAATTCTGAGCGATGTACAGAAGCGGAAAGAATATGATATGTACGGTGCGGAAGGATTGTCTCAAACGTCACCGCGTCAGAGACGAACTCCTGGCCATGATTTCTACTCATTCGAAGGTTCGTCCTACAATTGTTGAGGTCGGTGTGTTCGGTTTTTATTTTCTAATGTTCGCTCAAATTTTACAGCTGACATAAGTGCGGAGGAATTATTCAACATGTTTTTCGGTGGCGGGTTCCCGTCGAGTAATGTATATCATCGCAGTCATCGGTACCATCGACACTTCAATCACGAAGCTCGGTCACAAACTCGCACGGAACCGGAAGCGAACAGTTATTCCGTGCTGTTCAATTTAATGCCCTTGCTTATGCTGATTTTTTTGACGTTGATCGGCAATTGGTTTGCCGCGGATCCGTTGTACTCCTTGAGTCCAACATCGTGAGTAACTTGATCCACTGACATTTTGAGAAATGAAACAATTTTCCCGAACCAATTCAACAGGAAATATTCAACGGAGAAGGTTACTGCGAACTTGAAATTCCCGTACTACGTCAAGTCAGACTTCGAAGAAACCTACAAGGGTAGCATAAGAACGCTTGAAAGAAACGTTGAGGAAGATTATATTTCTACTTTACGCCACAACTGCTACAAAGAACGGAATTACAGTCAGTTCCTCAACGATTCAGTTGTATCCGTATTTATTGACGTTATTCGTATCTCCGTAGAGGAAACACTGATGTGGCAAGCTAGAACGTACGGCGATCCAGCTCGTCTTAAAAGAGCTCAGGAAATGGAAACTCCTGCGTGCAAGCGTCTTACCCAAATATATGGGTGAAGTGTTCGTGATCACCAGTGCTCTTTTTTTATTGGATTGAATTGCGTTCGTTTTTGTGGGGGTGATTCCTAAACCCGTTGGAAGAAAGGACAGTGCAAACCGTTGAATTACCATTTTAGTCACATTGAAAGATCCGTTTGAATGTGGGAGTGCGAAGTCCGAGACAATTCTGTGATGAACATGAAGCAGTCAAATACGTCTCTGACGGAGGAGGAATTTTATCTTGATTTTGTTCGGAATACTTTTCCGGAACCTTTGTAGAGGTATAGAAGATTTTAGGTCTTTTACCGCGGACACTGATTGTGTTATGTACTTGATGTAATAATAATTTCTTTGCGCATGATAGACGATTTTGATGTTCACTTAGATTATGGATTTCTGATGTTCTTCTTTTTCCGCTCCAGACTGTTTTGGTTTCAAAAATGGCAGATGAAAAAGAGGTTTTGGCAGAGGTGGGGTCCCGGGAAACCAATGATGAACCTCAAAAGAAGAAATTGAAAATGGATAATGGTCGCGCTCCAAACGGCAAGTCCGATGCCGTGGACTCAGAGAATACGGATGAAAATTCCAACGGATCTGCGGAAGGTTCAGGAAGTGACAGTCATCAGGAAACTGATACATCGGATAAATCGGGAGACAGGAAAAAATTCGTTAGTAGTGGAGACCCTATTCTGAAATTTGTATCTGAACATGAGCATTTTTTAGAGGCTTCCAGCCCCTACGGAAAGTGGCGCCGTTCTGATCTGTGGTCAAACCAATTGGGACATGACCGGTAGGAGTTCTTTGCCGAAAGGTGCGAAGGCCGGAGGCGGAAGATGCATCTACAACTTCCATCGTTTCTCTCCATTCAAGGTAAAATTATCTCGGAAGTGTTGAATGGCGATGCATTAGTTACGAAGTGCATGCTTCACGAGGTGATGCAAATTACTCGATTGCGCACTTTTGTTTACGCCCTTCCACATTTGCGGGGGAAATCAATGGCTTCAATTGAAGCTAAGTACATTAAGCAACCTAAAAGCATAGCTTTCTTCAATCTTATTTCACAGCTTTTTCCGAATGTATACAGTATCGTGTTACCATTTTCGACTTCAGTACGGATCAATAATTATGAACTTTCACTCAATTTGACAGACTACGAACATAACTCAATGCATCGAATTCCTAGTTATTCTTAGAATTCTTCTGCTCAGTAAATTCTTCAAAATTAAAATCATTTACCTACGTCAAATGTTTCTCAAAGAGAGTTGATATCTTCAACTTCCTCAGACGTTGAACGGTATGCTACATAGGGAAAACGTGCGTCTAGCGGTGGTGTTGAATCATTGTATTAGTTATTGAAGAACCTACTCGTGAAAAAGATTCAAATATTGCTATTATGCCATGTTGATCATGTGTGGTTCGTTCATCAGGGCCTGAAAGTGCGGTCTGTTATATCCGGATGCATGGCTGTTCATAACATGATAATAACGGAAGAGGGAAAGCTTTTTACGTTCGGTCGCAACGAAAAAGGCCAGTTGGGCACTGGAGACACGGAGCGCCGAGATGCACCAACTCTCGTTGAAGAATTGAAAGACTTCACGTTTGTTTCTGGCTCATGTGGCAAAAATCACTCCTTGGTATTGACGGGTGAGGTCCATTCATAAAAAACGGAAGGGTTCCATTTTCTTTTGAACCAAACTTAACTTTTTCAGACCGTGGAACTGTGTTCAGTTTCGGTGAGAATAAATCGGGGCAATGTGGTGTAGGAGCTAACCAACAAGTGGTGACCATTCCAACTAAAATATCCAGACCGAAGCCCGTCGTGAAAGTGGCTTGTGGTTCGGAATTCAGTCTGATGGCTGATGTTGATGGACAGCTTTATGCATTCGGTCACCCAGAATATGGCCAGCTTGGTGAGTTCTACTGTCAGTTCATTCTTCGAAACTTTTTTTTCATGCTGGGAAATATTCTAGTTCCCGAACTGCCAATCGTAATTTCAAAATCAATGATTTATGTTCTGTTGTAGGATTAGGAATCCCGGAGTTTCGTTAGCATTTTTTTTCCCTAAATGTTGTGCATGTGCTTCTGGCGAAAGGTGATATAACTTCGGTTTGTTCGAATGTGTAGGTCACAATACGGATGGCAAATATTTTATCACGAACTCAAAATTGTCATATCATTTTGAGTTCACGCCGCGTCGAGTCCCTGTCTTCATAAAAAAGTCACGAGAAGGAGTTCTGCCTGTCGACGGCGTTGAGATAACCGATCTCAGTTGCGGTGCGAACCATACAGTCGCTTTGGATTCTCGTGGTCGCATTTTCACCTGGGGTTTTGGTGGCTACGGTCGTCTTGGCCATAACGAGCCGAAAGACGAACATGTTCCTCGACTATTGGAATTTTTCGACGGGCACAACAGGGGAGCTAAGATGATAGCCGCTGGATCGTCTTGTTCTTTGGCGGTTCTCGCTGTTGGTATGAACCAGGCTGTCTTTTCATTGCGCATTCGTTATTGATGATTTTGAATCGTGAAATTTCCAGGTGGTGGCTTGGTGATGTGGGGTGCAACGAAGAAAACTGGCGAAGCCAACATGTACCCGAAACCAGTTCAAGATTTGCAAGGATGGAACATTAAAGATCTTACTTGTGGGAATACTTCTATTGGCGTCGTAGCGGACGATTCTTTAATCGTTTGGGGTCCGAGTCCCTGTTACGGAGAATTGGTGAGTTTGGAGATATGTTTTACATCTGAATACAGGCGTTTCGTGTTCAAGTTTTAGTAGGACCTTGTCTGTATTGATGCTGGAATTGATATTTCTTGCAATTGAACGATGTGCGCTCACGATCTCTTAATCGGATTACTTCGAGCAGGGGCTTGGTGTGCAGACGAAGAGTAGCTCAAAACCGAAGGAAGTTTCCGATCTGGAAGGTTGTACGGTACACAAAATCAGCATGGGTCTTGCTCACACTTTGATTCTGGTCTCCGAAGAATCAGAAAGCGATAAGTCCCTGTTAGAAGCGTTGCCAGAATACGACCCGTCCGATGCTACGGCAAAGTAATGCTCGTGACCGTGGATCATGCTACGCTACTTGTGAGCGCGTTCGATTGATTAATTTTTCGCTGCTGGTAATCCGAAACCGTGCACTCGGACACATTTCGTCCTGGAACAGTATTCAACTTTTGTTAAAACGTATTTTTCGCTGTCGATGTCGGAAGTGAATGGTGATGGGGGTCTTTTTGGTCAGAGCTTCTTTGCGTGGATGTGGAGCAGCATTTAACGGAAGAAACCCAAAGTTTTTGATGAAAATAATTCTGATCAACTTACGATGTGGTCTAAGCTTGTACAAACTGAAAAAAAAAAACGGAGCCAAAAAGAGTTAATTATTTTCGTCGTCCTTCACGTCGTTCCTCAGTGTTGAACAAGGCCTATTCGTTGTGGTCCCTGTCATCGGGGTTGGCTCCCGAGTTAGATTGTTGTGTAGATGAATCGCGGCAGATCTCAAGTCGAATTATGGGTAGTTTAAAATCCGTGGATCTGATGAGATTTTTTTACGGTAACAATCGTATATCCTGAAATGTTGGTTTTTAATGCTGTCCGAAGTTGTATCGTTTTGTACGTTTTATTTTCTTGAAGATGTTGACCCTTCCTTTATGGTACATTGAATATAAACCTACGAAGAGGTTTATTTCTTCAGCGAGGTTTCTTTTTCGATCTGATGCATCTGATCCTGGTTTTCAGCGTGCTAGGAACATGTGGAACGAAAGTGAACTCGCGGAACATTGCCGCAAAGTTTTGAGGCTAGTGCGCGAAAGAGGAAACTCGGATGAAAATTCTACCGCCTGTATGCCCGAATTACGAGGATTGATCGATGCTGTGGTGAACGAAAATGTTTCTCTGATCGTGTCTCGTCAAATGCTGAACGAAATCATCTCGGTGTTCGAGCACATGTCCAACGAAACAGTCCTTGCTGTTGCTCACACTATCCTGGAAAAGGTGCAGCCGCGAGTACTCTCGTTCGAAGATCAAGTTTCTCAGATAAGACAGTACCAAGCCACAATTTTTGAGCGACAACAGAAGTGGCGGCAGGCTGCTCGGGCCTTGGTTGGGATTCCGTTGGAGACCGGACAGAAGCACTACGCCGTCGATTATAAACTGGACACGTATTTGACGATCGCCCGGTTATATCTGGAAGACGAGGATCCTGTGGAAGCCGAGGCCTACGTGAACAGAGCTTCTGTTCTTCAGAATGAAACGAAGGATGAAAAATTGAAAATTTACTACAAGGTTCGTTGTTCTGCTGTTCTTCATTTAATCAATCCCACGTAATTATTTTTCGTTTCACGGATATTTTCCACCTGTACAGGTGTGTTAACTCATCCCAGAATGAACTTCGTAGAAAATTTTCATCTTTTTGGCCTTGTAAGGATGAAAACTGCAAGTGCAGGAGTTATGAAGTTTTGAGTACGCGGAGACCCCAACCCTCTGTTTCAAAAGTAAATTTGAGCTCAAATGTTGCCTGCTACGTAGCTTTACGAGAAGGTTCGATTGAAGATGTATCAATGCACGCGAAAATTTCATTATACAGTATCACTGATTTCTTCAATACCCAATCCATCGTCGTTTAAAAACTCACTTTACTTCATCGCAGAAAAGGTAAATATTTTCTAGTAATCTTATCAGAAACGATTTTGCCCTTTACATCCGAATTCACTGACGGCAAGTTTCCTCCCGAAATTAAATCGACACTCGTTCAATGTTTACTCGATTATTATGTTCAGGTGTTGAGCTAGTGAGGGAATCTTTTTTCATAGGTGTGTTATGCTCGAGTTTTGGACTTCAGGAGAAAGTTTTTGGAAGCTGCACAGCGTTACTATGAATTGTCGTACCGTCCCATCATCGACGAAAGCGAACGAGTAACTTCGTTACAGAACGCTTTGGTTTGCACCTTGTTGGCTTCCGCTGGTCAACAGCGTTCTCGGATGCTGGCCACGTTGTTCAAGGATGAAAGGTGTCAGAATTTGTTGGGAGACCTCTTCCCAATCCTCGAAAAAATGTACTTGGACAGAATCATTCGCAAAAGTGAGCTAAAAGCGCTAGAGGATTTGCTGTGCGTTCATCAAAGGGCTGTGAACGTTGATGGGACTACAATCCTGGACCGTGCTGTGATCGAACATAATCTACTTTCGGCTTCCAAGTTGTACGACAGCATTTCCTTACATGTTAGTTAGTCTTCCCATGCCGACTAAAATTTCTAGATAAATAAGATTGTATCTCATCTTTCCTTAGGAGCTAGGTGCTCTTCTAGAAATACCGAGTGATCGAGCAGAAAAAGTGGCTTCACAAATGATCTCAGAAAAGCGCATGCGGGGGAGCATCGATCAGATAGACGGCTATGTCTACTTCAGTAGGCAAGAAATTCTTCCTAGTTGGGACATGAAAATCCAATCTCTGTGCGGTGCGGTCAACGAAATTGTAGATAAAATCTCGACCGTTGATCCAGAATGGACTACGAGATATTCTGATCAAATGCTCAGTCAAATGACGAATTAGTGCCTCCGAAAAATGTCGCGATTTTTACGAGGTTCGTAATTTTTATGTTCGTGATTTCGGAGTTGTATTCTCATCATCTCTTTGTGTATTCTCATCATCTTTTCAGTGTGTAAGGAAATCAACGTATGATCTGAACTCGTTCAATTGGTAAGTTCTTTCTATGAATTGTTACGATTCCGTTCATCAGATCTCTTTTTGCTTTTAAAGATTTTTCATGGGAGGACCAGGCAAATTTTTCATTGATTAGTTCCCGACTGCCCATTCCAGCACTGGAGTGAGTGGAATTGATTCGTTTCGACTTGATTACATTTTATGAGACGCCTTACAGTATTGTTACCTATTGTTTTTTTTTATAGAGCGAAATTTCGTGCGAAAAACTACCGTACATTTGATGCGTCTGTGCTCTAGCACTATTAAAGGAGTTAATTGTTTTGCAGATAAGTGGCGTCACCAAATTTTGATTTTCCCGCTGAACGATGTGAGTATTTTTTAAGCATTTTCCGGTAAATTTGTTGGAATGATGTGTTACAGTTCTGCTACCGATTTTACTTGAGCGATATCATAACCACGTCTGAAAATAATCGTATCCAGTTTTCTTCTCGTTCGCATGATCGAACCGAAAAAGGCGAATGTTTCATACAGTAAAGGGTATGTTTCATTCCGCAGGTCGGGTCTCGGCATATCCCGTCCCTCGCCCGAAGATGTGAGTATTCTTCAAGGCTCCTTGGTAACGGTTATTCAAATGATGCGTTACAGTTCTGCTACCGATTTAACTTGAGCGATATCATAACCACGTCTGAAAGATATTTGTGGGGGGCTTTTCTTAAGCGCCTGCGTCCTCGAAACTGCAATTGATTATTTTTCATTCGACAGGTCTTCGTGTATCCATGTCCCGTATGTTTTCGCCATAAAGATGTGAGTGTTCCGAGGTTCTCCGTTTTTAATTATGCGAATGATGCGTTACAGTTCTGCTACCGATTTAACTTTGAGCGATATCATAACTACGTCTGAAGAAAATTTTTCGGTTTTATTGTTGATTGTTTGCGTACTCGAACTCAACTTGACTGTCTTATTTTTTCCCGCAGGTCATCGTCTGCTTATATGCCCTTCTACCTCTCCGAAATAACTCGGTAAGTGTATTATATGTTACCTTTATTTGAATTCTAAATAAATGATGGGTTCAGTTCTGCTACCGATCTTAACTGAGCGAAATTATAACTTAAGTCTGACAAATGCGAGGGTTATTTCTGATCGTTCGAGCTATCATAGCCAAAATTTACGATACATTTTTTTTCGTTCCGTAGGTTGCTGACGTGATTCACAATCAGTTCTTGCCCACTGGGAAACATGTGAGTATCTTGGCAGTATATTATTTCCTGACTTCTATTCAAATGATGGGTTCAGTTCTGCTACTGATTGATTGTGAGGATAACTGCTGTTACAGCTGATAAACGTTGTGTGATATTATTTTCCGCTCTTCTGCTCACCGCGAAAGTTTGAATGAAGCAAGTTTCACGTTTCAGATTTCTGCCGTGCATGAAATTGCGTTGGAGTACGACTCGTCTCGTTCGGCTGTCGGATTGGAGTGTCCTAAAAGTAGGTGTCCCTTCTCTGGCCTTGAATTCTCTTCATTAAATGTTTAAAATGACCACGCAGGAAGGAATTCATACTGTCTCCATTCCTTGTCTACTGTAATACTTCAACCGTGAATGAAACATACGATTCCTAATCTGCGTGTCGAGATGCGAGCGCGCTTTAAATGTCTTTCGAAATGTACTCGAAAAGGAGGAATAAAGCTGGGGGTGGAGAAAGTTCACGACTGAGGAATCCCAAGGATAGTCGTTCCCGATCACCTTACTCAGTGATATCGATAATGAACATCAGTTATGCTGCTTATACTTCATCGTGCAATGGTTTATTCATCCGTTTAACAACCCGAGTGATAATTTGAATCGGCTGAATTGTTCTGATTTTACTTCAGGAAAGCAACGGCTTGGCGTTCGAGATGTCGCTTGGTTTCCTGAACAACCATGGATGGAAGTGATACATCACGCAAGAGTGACCGTCGGAAAGCCTGATTTTGTACGTGCGGATTTTGTCGGCAAGTCGGCTTCTTGAAAAAAAAAAAAAAAAGAAAACCGCTTGCTCCGTTAACATACTTGTGTACATAATTGTCGGTCCTCTATGAATAACCATGGAACGTGTTGAATGTAATAAATGGCTTTGATTGCATTCATGTCGCCGAAATCATTTCCCAATTTATTATGAAAACAGACGAAGACCGTTCCATTGTCAAGCGTCATGACTATTTCGAAGTTAACAGGGCAGAGAATCTTTTACTAACCCGGCCTTGGACAAGATCACGATGATCACACGATCCCATGCAATAACTAACGTTCGCAGCCAATTGACACTCTGCATTAAACACCTCGCCGGACTTCACTTGATGGTTGTGGAAGACGGCATTTCCTCATGGTGACCTCGTAATCGCAATACGTAAATGGGTCGTGCTTGAAGTACTCCACATTTTTGTACAGTGGTTGGTCATTCTCAGATACACCACCTTCGCAGAAAACGAAGATGCCACTTAAAAATTGATCAGCAAGAACGTAATGACCTTACCTGAATTTGAATTGGAAGTTACTGCGACTTTCGGCAACACTGGTTTCCCGCTCTCATGGGATGAAAACCTCTGGCCGTGTCTCAATAATTTCATATCAAAAATTCTTGTCATTCGAGCAGAAATCATGACTGATGCAAGTGATGCCAACTACCTTTGTTTCCTGAAAATTCAACATTCATGCAATTCATTAGAACTAATGCTCGCCGTACGGTCCATGCAATGAATCAGTGAATCAGGTATCACGAGGGTTATCGCAAATTTACGTCACGGAGTGCATTTCGATTTTGAACATTGGGTACTTGACCACGAGAGGTGATCCACCACGCGGATATTACATTTAAGTGGAGTTGCGCTCTGCTTTTTACTGGCCATTTCTGGTCGGTCAGATGCCCATCTCTTTTAGAGTTAGCTTTCTACGGATACATTGACAGGCTTCGACACGTCGGCGGCATCACTTTTTCCGGTTGCTTTCTTGGGAAGCATACTCCATCCTCCGAATCACATCTTCGCATCGTCGCGCGGAATCGTGAACTGCAGAGGCTAGGCGTTTTTCAGCGATGAGATTTTGGAAAGATGTCAAGCAAATCCACGTGCGTTACCATGATGGGTGATTTTACTCCACTTGAAATGTTTAGCATTCACAAAGCAGATGTCGCTGTAAATTTTCACCGTCCATCAGTCGTAACTCCGCGTGTGAAACGAATGAAGGCAGGAAAATCTGGACTATATAGGAGGGTATATACATAAATCATGGCTGTCCTAGTGTCTATGAATCGCTTTTTCATGTTTTAAAGATATAACATAGATGCAGTGCAGGTAGTTTCAATTTAGGAATCTCGAGATTCCTATCACATTATATATTGTATTGAAGTACTGTATATACGCGCGTATGTGTTTCTGAATTCTGATGCATGATCCAGGATTTCGTCAACCCCCGGTTAACGTTATTAGTTGGTTCCAAACAAAAAAAACGTTAACTGGGAAAAACGTTAACCGGGGTGTATTTCCCTTAAGAAAGAAGGGAAAAACGTTTATTTGGTTCCACAAAAGATTTTCTTAAGGCAAAAATCAGAAAAAAATTAATCAAAGAGTGTATTTCAACAACTGAGCTTTATGCACTGCCATGACATTCAAAGAGTAACCACAGTTCTTCACTCAATTAAAATCAGAGATTCATTTTAATGACAGAAAAAGTCACTCTTTTGATCTTTTTGAAAACAGCAAGGAGTGAGGGGTCATTTGACCATTAACTGGAAACGTTTGCCCAGAGATGGGCTTGTATCTCGCGACTTTCGATAGTTTACGATAATTTTGCTTTGAAGCCCTGTGGAAGGGTCTTTTTCAAACAGCTGCAGGCGCGTCCCGAGACGCGCCAATTATTGCTTAATTTTGAAAGTATTTTGTCAGTTCAGTTGTTCTTGTTTCCAACGAAAAATTCCGCACAAAAATCACCCACTAGCAGTCATTTGGTGAGAATGGACAGGAGCATCCAAGTCCATTTCAACTCCCAGGAACAATTGGACAGCCTGCTGGTAGAGGGGGTTGAGGAGTTCCCAGGCAACAAGTTGGGAAACAACTGTTGACAGGACCTTCCACATCCCCAAAGCTTCCAGTTGTTCTACTGTCTACATCTGTCACTGCTGTTCCCATCAAGTTCCTAATCAACATGGGAACCAAGGTATCATTAATTTCTCCTTTGTTTGTAACTAGTGATTCCATCACGCGCACTCCTGGGTCTACCATTGCCAGCCATAGAAGATCAAAAAATACCCATTTGGGGATCCCTAGATGCAATCTTGTGGTTCAAGGACTTACTCCTTGCCCAGGCAACTTTACTAATAACAGAGATTGCAGATCAAGCCTTTGACAGTATTCTAGGACACAATGTGCTCAAGGCTGAAAATACCAGAATAAACTTCAGAAAGAAATTATTATTTATGTCCAGAGTGTGTATCCCTTTCTTTGCAGAAAGAGATAAAGGTTTTCACCTCCAAAAGGAAGTGCATAAGATCAAAGGACTAAAAGAGGCACAAAAGGTTTAAATAGGTCAGTCGTGTACATGTTATGGCCTTTTGAGAGTTAGACAAGTGACCCATTCTGGATCGTTCCTATATGCCGCGTGAAATCTCCTAGTTAGGTAGAACTAGGAAGGTCTTACGGGGAATAATTGTTGCAAAAAGTTTGCCAAAAGTGCAAAAAGGAAAAATTAGGATTTTGTGCTTAAACATCACTGACCTGGATGTACAAGTTACCCGTGCATGATGGTTGGCATGGGGTCTGTAAACGGTATTAAAATGGCCACAAAAATGACAACCCAACCAAAGAAAAATATACAGTCAACCCCTGGTTAATGTTTTTAGTTGGTTCCGAGCAAAAAAACATTAACTGGAAAAAACTTTAACCGGGGTGCATTTCCCTTAGGAAATAAGGGAAAAACGTTCATTTGGTTCCACAAAAAATTTTCTTAAGGTAAAAATCAGAAAAATATTAATCAGCTCATCCACTCCCAAGTCTTGAGTGTCTTCCATGACAAGTTCACTCAATACTTGGGAGTGGAAGAGCTGAGGGAAATGGCAGCTGAAAAAGATGATGTTCAAAGAAATATCAATGATCTGATGGCACCACAAAAAAGTAAGGAGGCCTTTTCAGTGTTTTTAAATTGTTCTTCATGCAATGCATTGTTTTACACTCTTTCATTATTTCTGCATTTTTCAGATTGCCTTCTGCTGATGATGAAAAATTGGCCCTCAAGTCAACTGTCATCAAGGAGACTCTCACCAAGTGGAATGAAGTCCAAACCATCTTCAAAGAACAACATCCCAACAACATTCAAGTTCAACAAGCTTTGGATGTTTTTGTTTTACACTCTTTCATTATTTCTGCATTTTTCAGATTGCCTTCTGCTGATGATGAAAAATTGGCCCTCAAGTCAACTGTCATCAAGGAGACTCTCATCAAGTGGAATGAAGTTCAAACCAAGAAGTTTCTTGTTGTAGGGTTGTTGTAAGTTCAAGTTTTTCGAAACCTACAGGACCTGAGACAAACACCTTCCGTAAATTGACGGGAAGAGTTTTCATCCCTCTTCGTATCATCCATCAAAAGCTTCTTCTCTCCTGACAAAGCTGGGCCATCAATGGACCAAGCTGGGCCATCAGGTTACAAATCTCAGCCCTGCAAGAGGGCAAATGACTCAAGTGACTCTGATGAGTGACTTTTTGTGTCATTAAAATGAATCTCTGATTTTAATTGAGTGAAGAACTGTGGTTACTTTTTGAATGCAATGGCAGTGCATAAAGCTCAGTTGTTGAAATACACTCTTTGATTAATATTTTTCTGATTTTTGCCTTAAGAAAATTTTTTGTGGAACCAAATAAACGTTTTTCCCTTCTTTCTTAAGGGAAATACACCCCGGTTAACGTTTTTTCTTCAGATAACGTTTTTTCCCCCTGCACCAACTAAAAACATTAACTGAGTTTGGGAACATTAACTGAGGGAATTTTTTGGGAAGGATTGGGAACGTTAACTGAAAAAACTTTAACCGAACGGAACGTTAACTGGGGGTTGACTGTACAGTACTGTAAGTTCTTGCTGGTAGCGCGCGGGCTCGCGCGTGAGCAGCATCATTTGTAATAGTGAGGATTTCAGTCACAATCTATAGATATCCAGAATAATGACAAATGTAAGGCCTGTATACTGTATTTTCCAGAAACATTAGGTATAAAATTATGTTTTAAAATGTAGTCAATGAATAAGATGTTAATACTGTACTGTATAACACAGCCCAAATCTTGAATGAAATGAAATTATATATGATAAACCAAACATTTAAAAAGTTATGAATATGAAATTCTGATGGACCATCACAGCAATCAATCATGCATTTTACATACATATAATAAATTAGTATAATCGAAAAAACATCAGCAATGGCAATTAAGAATAATATACTGTATATGTTCAAAATTATTTACGGTACCTCATCTTATGCTATATATTTGCGCGCTGATAGCAAAAATGGTGTATTGTAATGTGACAGCTGCTTATGTATAGTGGTGTGTATACAAACTGATTGATGATTGCATTAATTAGTGCTGATTAGTGCATTAATTAGTACTATTACTCTGAATGTATTCAAATTTTTGGATCATGCTGTATATAATTTCTGCGTTGAATGCATGTCTGTCACATCATTTACAGCAGTACTGTATATATCCAAGCTAGAATATTGATGCTGCGAGCTATAATATAGTGTCACGAAGTATGAACTATTTTGTAAAGTTCTGTATACATGCTGTACAATATTATGCATTGACACGCATATCGGTGTCCGTTTATTATAGTGAAGTCTATTATACTGTCCTGCATTATTTGGCTCGTATGCCGTGATGTATATACGTGAAATACACTACAACTTAACTGACCGAGAGTCAATAAGTGCGTCAAATATGCCAACGGACATGAATGAGCAGCCTATTGAGAAGCAAAGTCAATCATG